GGGACATACGTGTTTGGTCCCAAACCAGACCTGTCCACTATCTTCCTCACGAGCTTCAAGCTCTCTTCCGACAAGAAACCCACACGTTCAGCCCTGTCCAGAAGCATCTCCTTGTTACAAAGACAAGTGAGTGCTGGTTTGAAGCATGCGAAGTCGACTAGGTATACTTGTGTGGGTCTGTTCATGAAGAAGTAGCGCGCTAGGAACAGTAAGGCTAAGCACGAAGGTAAGAGCAACAATGGAGGAAGGTTTGAGTGGGGAACATGAAGACAAGCGGGAGCTCCGGCCAGGAAGGCTACGCAGGAAGCAAACAAGATATTCATTTTGTTGGAGAGTATGAAATAATACGCATGTTTCACGTACTGAAATCTTGAGGACGGTGATGGAGATGGGATTGATGGTGGTGCCATTTGTGAAGTTAAACTCTAGCTGGCCAGGATAGAGAGAGAAAGAAGAGAGGGAAACCCTAATGGTGAAGTGAAGACTAGGTTTTGCTCTCCCAAGTATATATAGAGTTGAGAAGAAGATAAACATTTATTATACTGCCTCCGCTCCTTTTGAGTAATTTGAGTAAAAAAATTTGTTGAGTTAGTTATTTATAATAATTAAGTGTCATCTTTTTTAAAATATTCTTACTAATTATATATTATTAAAATTATCAATTAATTAAATAATTAATATGTACTATTTTGAAAAAAATATATCAATATAAGAGACAAAGTGGATTGAAGTTTTATATTTAGAACCAAACTAAAAAAGTTAAATCAGCTCTTATATTAAGAATGAGAGGTGGTACGTACTTAAAATATTATACTACATTTGCTCCTTAATATAAGACCCCGTTTGAATTTTAGTTTGGTCCTAATTATAAGACCCAATCCATTTTGTCTATCATATTTATGCAATATTTTCAAGATAGTCCTTCTAATAATGATAGTTCTAGCCAATATACTTAATTAGCAATGATATTTTAGGAATGACAATACATTTATTATAAATAACTATTTAACTTACTTCTTTAATCTCCTTAAATTAGTCAACTAGGTCAACTAGGTCTTATAATTAAGACCGGAAGTAGTATTTTGGGATATAATTGCGTTTCTTTGTCGGCAATTCATGTGTGTGTATGTACAAATTATATAGCATGTATTGATTAAATCATACTAAAAGGGGCAACATGATTTAATCACGGAAACATAATAAGAGAGTTTGTGTTCATTTTTGGAGCCAAGTGGGTAGAGGGGTTGATAAACAGAATTAATAGAGGCTATAACTATTAGCGATTGACAGCGGCAGGGACAAATAGCACTGCCACTGTGTGCCCTTTAACCTGTTTCATTTTTTTTGAACCGTATCGTGAAATTTTATCGACATATGGATTAGGGTTTAATTTTACTACCTAATTGATTTAGTGTAAATTTTATTGATTTTTATGATGCATGGTTGATTAATTGATTTAGTGTAAGTTTTATTGATTTTTATGGTGCATGGTTGATTTAACAATCAATATTCATTTCTATTAACACCATCCATCACCTCGCTCTGACACACAACATTGATTCGAATTTATTAGTGGGCAACTTTCAACGACATATATTAATATTACTCAGCGGATCGGACCAGGATCAATGTTCTCCTGCATTTCTGTTTCAGTGTAATGTTTTCAGAGATGCAACATTGCTTTTGTCAGAACAAAAATTGAAAAACAACTATGTAGAACATACATACATGGATAATTTTCATCCGTAGTTAAAGTGGGAAATTAAACATTTATTTTCGCTTAGAACTGGAATGAGTGAATAAACAATATTATAAATTATGCCCTTAAACTTGCATTAAAGTAAAAAAAAACGTTAAATATAACAACGTAGTCAAATTATTATAGTAGGAAAAAATATGAATACAGGTATTGATTATATAATAAATGAAAGATCACAAAAGGTGTTGAGGTGTGGCAGCGAGAGATAAGGGTAAATTATAGAGAAGTAGGTAAATAAATTTAATGGGATTACAACAACTCTATTTATTGGGTAGTAAAACGGATATAATATAATAGCTCTTTGTTATTTGGCATAAGCTGGAGATGTAATCTTCTGACAACACACCATGTGAGGATTGGATCCCAAGAAATGAGGAGCTGCTTTTGGAGTAAATGCGGATGCATCGGTGGTAAAAATTACGTATCATATCAATGATATCTCATGTTTCCCACTTTCTCTATAGGGCACAATAAATCCTATCTTAATTCTATTATTTCAATTTTTGGAAATCAGGTTAAGTTGTCTCCAAGTTAACTATACCAAAAATGAAAGCGTGAGTAATATATATTGGCCAAGGGGTTTCGCCTCTGCAATTCTTTTTATTTTTCTCTGCATCTTGCACTGAAACTCGACATATTTGGCAAAAATTAATAAAAAGTTTCAACTTAAATATCTTTAATTTATGGGAATAGATTATATGGAATGTAAAGAAGAAGCAGGGAACTCCAGTACGGTGAGAACACCTGGGCTTATATTCAGATGAAGACTCTCCCAAATGTGACATTGCTTTTATCAGTACACAAAGAGTTACACACTAATGACCCCAAGCTGTCTATTGGCAAGAATGAAGACAAAGGGATCTCTCCAGTGAGAAGGGTTCCTTCTTAGTCTGAACATGCATTAGATTTGATGTTGACGTATCCATCTGCGACTTGTATGTGTGGTTTTATTTGAGATGATCGACCTTAGCCTTGTCACAAAGAATATTATCATTTTCTATTATGTTTTCACAAAACTAATAGAAGTGCAGAAAATTACCTTACTGATATTTCTTCAGTTTAAATATAAAACCTATTTTATAATATAATTTATACTATATAAAATAAGCCTTACACGTCACCTCCCGATCTGCATGAATTTCTTTCAGCTAAAAAAATTCGTATTGTTTTTAATCAAGTTAACATATCATCAAATAATTTTATTGTTACATAGAATGGGTAGGTGTATTTTTTAAAAAAATTAAGGGAAAAAGAAAGAGTGGGGGAGAAGGGGATGGAGGCAACATGGGGGCTTCTTTGAATAAGAAAGGGACGGATCTTCTAATCTTCTGATGATCTGATCCATATGTCGCAGAAGCCAGTACAGATGCATGAGCGTATGGGATTGGATTCAATGATTTCTTCAAGTTACACCTCAATTCTTCCAAATCATTAATTATCATATTTATCTGGCTCCATTCTTCAAGTCTTACACGCAACTGGCATCTCTGTTTAGATCCCCATACCTCGCCACGCCCACTTAATTATGCTCCCCTTTTCAAATATCACGACTCACTACATATTCATTTTGTATATATGCACATATGACTCCGTCTAGATGCATGTATGCATATAGTGAAGAGCAGCCATAGGTAATTAGACATATAGAAATCTTAAGAGAATGTTATCCAATCAAAGCTTATCCTATATAGCTGTCATTTGTGCGAAATAATAGGATAACGTCAGATTAGACGGCTTGGAGTATAGCATACAGCATATATGGACAAATATAGCACAAGATAAACGTTATTACTGTTCAGAGCTTGTTTATTTGAGCACCGTCCCTATTCCTCACCCACGCCTCTTGCCTCTCTTCTTTCTTCCCTGTATGTATCCTCTCTCTCAAATCAATCTCACACCGCCCTTGATCATTTCAACAGTGGTGTCGTCCTTTAATTGACTAGATAGCTACTTATTCAACTCGTGTGTGTGTGTGTGCTGTGTGCGCGTGAGATGTGGGCCTTAGCTATAGGAATAGTAGTTAGATATAATTAACGAGGAGCTGATCTTTAGCTGCCACTATAATATATTGCGAAATGATCATTAATACTCAAACGTGAGAGCTGTTTAGAAAGACTAGCCACTCTCAATTTGTTTGCCCGTGTTTATTAATTCGTACAAAACCAAGGCCGTAAAAAATTGACCTGTTCTTGGCAACCTCGACGACAGAGAGAGTTTGTTGGACAGAGAATTAAATTAAGTCAGGTCATAATACAAACTATCCCCATATCAGAACCCTAATGCATATGGTAATTAAGTGGATGAACAAGTCAATTGAAGTAAGCATTTGCTTCTTTAAAGCACAATCAAACATGACTATCCAATCTCGATGGCATGAAGAGATTTCTGATCATGGAGCTAATGAACGAATCATTTCTCAGTAAGTGTGATGACTTCAATAATGGGGTTCACAATACGCACTAGCTTGCCCCAACACTAGTTTCATCTTGCAAATATTAAAGCCTTTATGCTGATGCTGTTATAATTTATTTTTATAAGAGGGAAGTCGTGAATTTAATTCCACGTGTCACTTTAAACTCTCGGTGCCTGCTCTTCTGGTCAAAATAAAGTAAGGCCCTTTGAGAATAATTAGGATTTCGCCAACTGTATTAACTTGATGACATAAATATTTGATGAAACCCTCCATGCAATAGTATTGAAGATGGGATGATGCACTAACAAGTCAAAATGATTTTGTAATGTGAATAATAAACCTCGTCTCATAAGAAAATAGTTGAGAACAAAGTTTGATACTCTTTCTTTTTTTTTTTTTGGCTTGGTCTCAATAGTCAAACTCTGAACTTTTAAATAACCAGAGAATTACAATAAATTTTAAGAAAAAAATAATAATTAGTAAATTCTAATAATAAGTAAACAGTTGTCATTTCACTTACTAAAACTTGTCATTGCAAAGGACTTTTAATGATGATTTCATTCTTTCGGATTTTATGGTAAGTTTTCCTAAATTAAATTAAATCCTCATGAACTTAACATGAAGAACTAAATTAGATGCTTAAATTTAAGAAATAAATTTTATAATTAATAATTTATAAATACTATAATTGATTAGAATTTTAATATTTTAATATGGTATTACAAAAAAAAATTACGTGATATAATGAAAGTTTACAACAACGGACAAAAAATTCTGGGATATAAACGAATATAAATAAAATACGATGGAAGAATTGAAATCGATGAGTCATGGAGAAAGATAATGAGTACGTGGCAAATGGAAGCCCATCACTGTTCGCACCTCTTCTCTGTCGTTCCTCGACCTCGACCTCGACTTCAGCCCTGTTCATGGCGATTCCTTCTGTCCCCACCCCCTTCACCTCCCCACTTCTACAACCCTAAATCATTATTTCTCACTCGTATCTACTTCTCCACTAAGTACCCTCGTTGGGATTCCAATGCTGAAGCCGTCCGAGACCGGAAATTCAACTTCAATTTCCGAGGCAAAGGTGCGGACGAGGACGAGGACGACGACGAAGAAGAATATGAGAAGAAGAGACGGTGGTGGTGGTCCGATGAGCCCCCGGAATTTGAGGAAGAGACAAGCTGGACCTGGGAAGATGCCATTGACAGCGTATGGATTTTCAAGGTGAATCAATTTTACTTCGGTTATTGAGCTGACTTTATGTTTGCTTGTCTTTTTACTGGGGTTTTAGTTAATTTTGGTATTTTCACGATGCCCGGAATTGCGAATCTCAGAATAATGTGCCAGTTTATCCTGAAGAATATAACAGCCTCTTGATTGCATGCTAATCGACAGTCTGTCCTAATAAAGAAGAAATGATTTGTCATTTCAACAAGAGATTTCCTGCTTCAGCCATCACCATTAGTTTACAAAGGCGTAATTTTGATTCAATATCTGGACTTTTGATTAGCACATTCCGCAAGATAACAGTGCCGTGAGGGATGAAAGAGAGATAGAGGCATGAAGGCACGGTGGCGTCAAATGTTTCAATTAACTATTTTTAACTAGAATTCTAAATCATAACAAATCTCTCATGACTCTAAAACAGCTGGTAACTGGTTATTTTCCCCTTACTTTTTAGTTCTCTTTACCACAAACAAGCGTCTTGTTTTCTTCTAAGGCAGTATATGGGTGATGCGGCTTGCATTTTACATTGCTTTTTCTTCCATTTATATCTAATAATTTTTTGCTTAACTTTATATCTGATGTTCTCAAGGCTCTTTTAAGGCTAGTCAAGACTTCCATCGTCCTATATGCGTCTAATTAGTAGCTAATCAACTTTTCAATATGGTACATGTGTTCCAATATATAGCATTTTCATCAGTGCAGGTTTTCAAATCCTATGGTTGGACATTTCCAATCATCATCCTTTCTTGGTTGGTGGCTACTGGCCCAAAAGCTTTCCTCATGGCATTGGCACTCCCCCTTGGTCAGTCAGCACTTGCACTGGCATTTGAGAAATTGTGGGGAAGGGACAAAAGCAAACCAAAACGCAAGTCCCGGATGAGGAGGAAGCCAACCGCCAGGACTGTAAGGGGCACCAAAGTACAGGAAGAACCAGAGCCAGAGGAAACCCAGAGAAGAAGAAAGGGAAAGACAAGCTACCAATCATGGGTGGATAATGGTTCGGTTGGTAAGGATGAGCAGAGTGCACCTAGTTTTGGTGGATGGGATGATTTGGATAGAACTGGCCCGACAACGAGGTCATCTCGAGGGGGAAACGGATCTGAAAGGTTGACTGAGGAGAAGGGCAAGTTGAGCAGGGCAGTGAGGAAAAGTGACAGGCCTCTGCTAGTGAGATTGCTGATTGCTCTTTTTCCTTTTCTGGGCTCATGGACTAAAATGCTGTAGTAGTCACCCCTCACCATCATCTGTGTGGGCGTGAAATTATTTTAATTGGATCTTGCTTGGATGAAGAGAATTCAAGTAACTATTTTCCACTTTAATACGTGTCAAGTTCTGGTTGAATCAGATAACTATACTATATTTTCATTCTTGAAGTGTCATAATTTTTAGCAGAAGGTTCCTCTGTTGAGTGAGTACATGGGGAAACCAGACACATTTTGTCGAGGTATAAATTCTTGATGATAATAACACTATAACAGGTCAAATTTCTATCTGCTTGACAACTCCATTGAGGAGTTGGGCTTTTATGCTGTTTTTGTCATCCTACCACCAATAGATAGGTAAACAATGTTCAATGCTTATCTGCTCTCTGCACATTTGTTAAGTCCCCCACGTGGGACTTGATGCCCCGGCTAGCAAAGCAGCCGGAAGAGATTCATGTTTTGTTTTATATATGAACACACCTTTTTAAGCTTATCCCCAAACAAAAAAAAAACGACGTTCAATACTGAGAGTAGAAGTTTAACAGTGTTTGATTCAATGGATCTTTTTACCCCTCCATTTTGTTTAACCATAACCAAGCAAGTTGCCTCTTTTTTTCCAATTTAATAAGGGAAGGAAATCCTTCCAACCAAACTTACTTTAAATCTACTGGTTCTGTTTGGTACGAAACATTGAAAATAAGAGATAAGAATTAGGATTATAATTGAAAAAAGAATCATTAAAAAAGTCTCAAGTATAAGTAATTATTTGTTATATAAGATTAGACAAACCCATAATAATATGATTGGAAAATACCACTTCTCTCCATAATATTCCTTAATTCCACATATATAGATTTGTCTAATCCTATATAATAAATAATATCTCATACTAAATACTATTTTCTTAATCTCAATCTAATCTCTGTCACTTATTTTCAATACTTCGTACCGTAGTTCACTGGGTGGATGTGAAATAACAAGACGTTAAAATCATCTGAATAAAGAATTTAGTCTTGGATAAAAGCCTAGACCCCAAAAAAAGAAAAAAGGGTGTCGGATAAAAGCCAACGGAGCTTACTAATGTGATAGTGATAAAGGGAATGTCGCGAAGCTTATTTTTTTTCACCAGGTTTGTGAACCAATTCGTCGGCTCCTTCGAGGAATTCAGAGAGGCAAAGCGTCGATTTGGCTAAATTAGTAGGAATGATATAATGTCAGTTTGTTGAATTGATTAACGGATTAGACGTCGTTGAAGATTCAAAAGCGATCGATCGATCGATCAAATGAAACAGTTGCGAAGACGGTTTGCTCTTCATGCACTCATGAATGAACACCTCCGAAGTCCAAAGAATGCCTAAATCATCAAAGCTAAGTAATTATTAATTCTCTGAAGAAAGAAGAATTATTTCGTTATCTTTGCGAAGCTCCGATAAGCAATCCCAGTTTCTCACATTTAATTTCGTATTTAATTTTCAATTCCTACTTGTGAAAGGCATTGAGTAATGCCTAACCAATTCAGTCTGACCGTCCAGTCAAAGAACGCATCGAGTTTGATTCCCTCGAGCTTTAATTGTCGCGATTAGAATTGATGCGCTTTCATCATCGTCACCATAATTTCTAATATATTTACTGGAAAGTTTCACTCAAAGGAAAAATCAATGATTTAGAATTATGTTTCGAAAGATATTCGCATAACATGGCTTCTGTTTAATGTGACACTTTGATGTTTCAGATCATGGAAATGTTTAGGCTTTGCACCAAACTCAAAGGAAAAATCAATAATAAAGGAATCAGCGACACTCACAAGTGTTTCTTCAATTGGAGACATGTGATCATCAATAGCCAGCAAAACTCATTACTTCTTGTCAAAAGAATTGCCTTCTTTCTCAGAAATGTTGGTATGAAAAAAGCCAGTCGTCATCTTGCAAATAGCTGGACTCTATTGACATGACAAGAAGAAGTGGGATCCTGGAGGCAGCTGCAAAAGCTATCCTCATCCTTAGGAAAGGATGCTGGTAAAGGGTGGTCAGGTATGACACCGACCTATACACAAGTCCAAGAGGTTAAGTGAGAGGAAGAAGTTCAGAAGGGAGATATGGCGATTGAAGAGTCAGCGAAGTTCAGACCTTGTCGATATCAGTGTGATCAGGTGTCTCATAACGAGCAACAGTAACAACCAATCCGGAACCATCAGAGAGCTCGAACACTGACTGAATCTTCCTGCAGATAAGATGAGCACTTCATGCGAGTGAAAGGGAAATTTTAGTTCGGTTTGTTTAATATAAACGCGAACAAAGTTAACTACCCTTTTCCAAATGTGGGTTCTCCAAATAGGATGGCCCGTTTATTATCTTTCAATGCACCAGCTAATATTTCACTTGCACTAGCTGTTCCCTTATTCACCTGAGATTGGCTCAAGAAAATAACGGAGAAGTTAAATAACATATAATACTTGTATCAAATATTATCCTCAAATGGACTAGTGTGCAAACAGAGTAGAAATTGGAAGTCTGATTATAATGCAAGTAGATGGCCCAGACAACCCTCACACCACGTCCCCTTTCTTCATGATACAAAAGGGCACAAGGACTTGGGCACAGAGAGAAAGAGAGGGACGATATAGAACAGAACTGATTAATCCATGTGCATTGCGGTATCAGGACCCCTGATACGTTAGTTTAGGGGGTACTCGAGCTAAGGCTATTGGATTTCATTTCAATATCAAAGCAAAAAGGAAAACATCAATCAAAAGAAACACACAAGCATGAAAAAAATTACCCTGGTCATCTCCACCAAACCCTATGAGGGTTTACTTTCTCTCTTCCACTCCTGAAACCCACAAGTTCTTTCACATATCTATCATGCCCCATAGCCTATCTAACCTATACGACTATTTACAACTCAAATTTTTACGCAACAACAGCTTGCCCATCAACAAAACCCAAATAGAAAACTGCAATACCTAATGAAATTAGAATTGAGCTAAACTCCAACGGTAGATGAAAACAGTGCAACTAGGGAAAAGAAAAGATATACCAATACAGCTAGAGGTTCTGACGTTGCTATTGCATTGCTTCCATCTGTATCGAGTATATCTCGAACACCACGACTGTCGCAAATATATACAATCACACCTTTGTCCAACCTGATTGGAAATATCTCTTAGAATTCAAGATGACATTAACATAATATTCTCTTCATAAAGAACCCCATTAGGTTCTCAAATATTGAAAGAATCTGACATCCAAGATCAGCATTAATATGGTTACAGGACAGTTATTATCCTTCATAGAACTCGTTCCACAACTTCTTAAAAGCGGCATTGCTCGAGTGGATTGTAAGTAGATACAAGAACGTGTAAAAGTTTGTAATAATCATTTTAGTACAAGCATCTGCTATTCCTGGGTGTTGGGTGCCTATTTAATTTAAGGTAAGCAACAGAAATGTGATTGTCGTATAGGTATTGCTTGAAGATGCAGGGAATTTTCAGAAAAACAAGCCTGAAAATAGAACACCCTTTATTATTATCACAAAACAGTCTTTCGATTATTTCCATTTATAGAAACATGAAGTACATGCTTCAATATGTTTTTAACCCATTTTTTCATTTGCTTTTTTGATATTTAAAAAAATTCTATTGCACAATCTAAAGTGCAACCCATGATCTTTCACCTGTACCCTTTCTATTCAAAAAATAAAGAAAGAAATGGCGGCAAAAGATAAGAACACTGGGGTGCTGCCCTTACCACATGCACAGGAAATAATTGTGTTGTGCAATATAAGATGCCAGTTTGCCACTGGTTGATAAGCATATCTTACCAAATTTTGGCAATCTCGATTCCTTCTGGGAAGAGACCACCGCTGTAACAAATATATGCTTCAGAAAGACAGCCTGCCAGTAGGCAAAAGCATATAGGAGAAAATGCTAAATCACCTATTATCTCTAAGGTCCAAAACAAACGCATTAACATTATCACTCCGCAATGTATTGATTGCTTCCTTGACGGCATCTGCAAGAGAGAGAGATTTAAATTACAAAAACAAGAATGCAGTAGCTAGAAAAACTTAATACTTTCAACTACCTACATCACATTTCATGTAATATATATACATACACATTTCTTCATTCTTCACATTGTAACCCAAAAAAAATTCAGATGTCCCTTAATCACATATGGAAGAACTGGAGATCCAATTCAGTTTTGATGTATTATATCTTTATAATGTAAGTGCTTAACGGGCGATTTACTCATTTTTTGTGATGTCAGCACAAACCAACAAAACAGAAAGTGGCAGAAAATTTACTACTTACTGGATGCCTTTTGGTTGAAAGCTGTTAGTTTGATATAACCAATCAACGGGGAATCATTTCCTGAAGCAGGCAGCTTGCATAATCTTGACTTCACTGGATTCAGTAAAACTTTCTCTCGCCTGGAAGGTAGAAAATCATACTTAAGAGATTTCTAAAAGAGAAGGATAAAGATAACAAGCCAAAAATCTAATGATGATGACAAAGACCATTGCGACAAAATAATTTAAGTGGGAAACATACCACACTTACGATTAGTAGGTTAGCTGAACCTAGTGATGCATTATAATACTAAGTTTTTTCAATTATCCTCATTAAAAAAAAAAAAAAAAGTATCCCTGAACCTTAAGCATATATCCAATTTGCAAGAAAACAGAAGTATAATTCACCAAATTAAAAAGACAAGTAAATAAAACTTACTTACATCAATGATAGGTGTTTTACTTCCTGACCACTCCGAAGGGTCAAGGCTACAGAGCTTCCTTCAGGTCCCCTGTAATTTCCTTTAGTAGGTCAGGCAACACAAGATCATAGTCAAGGCAAATATTGATCTTGTCAAGAAGATCTGTGCTTTAAAATGTATGTTCACCTGCGTAATGATGTCGTGTTCAAAACTATGAAGGGCCAGAATTTTAGAAATTTCTTGGAAATTAAATTATAGTGAAACAACCAGATAGTATTCTCTAGATAACTGCTGATGCAAAAATTTACACTTCAAGCTAGACCCAACAATCCGCAATCATACTGAAGTACCAAAGGCAACAGATTCCATTTATGATTAGCTCATACAGCATTAACGAGATAAAGGTATGGCAAAAATCTTCCCCGTCTGTCTCAAGAAATGCTTCTGACAAAGCTAACTTTCATCAGTTTTACATTAGCAAAGTCAATCAGAAATCGAATCAGTATTTTTTAAATATATCTTTGGGCTATTAAACCTCATCAATGCTTGTACCAACATAGTATGGTGCTCCTCACTTGCTGG